GTAAGAGCCTGGCTTGGGGGGCGCTGTGCCTCCCCTCCCCCAACCCCGCCACTGCTCCCCGCGCCTTCGTCCAGCAGGACCAGCTGGGCTGGGCTCCATGGCGCTGGGGGTGGGCAGCTGGAGGTCAGTGCCAATTGGGTGCTGCCCAGGCTCTGGAGGGGCAGAGTGAGGGCTGAGCAGTGTGGGAAGGGAGCTGAGGGGGTGGCAGGATGGGGCGGCGTGATGCACGGGGCCAGACGCATGGCCAGACTCGCCCCATCCAGGATGGTGCAGGAGCTTTCTCGCACAGAAGGAGGCACTGGGCAGTGCCTGGCATCTAGGACCCATTGTGTCCCCACCCTGCTCACAGCCGCCCTCCCCCTGTTGCAGCTACACCTCCCTGGGGAGCATGAGTAACACACAGAAGAACCCGGCACTGCGCTACACCAACGCCCTGGGCCAGGAGAGCTACCGGCCGGCCTACCTGCTGGAGAACGAGGAGGAGGAGCGCACCTCGCGCCAGTGAGATCCTGCCAGGCGGGCCCCGGCCACAAGAACCCCCCACTCGGTGGTGAACTGGACTGAGCGCGGGCTGCTCCCCCGGGCACTGTCGTCGGGACACCCACCCCCGGCTCTACCAACTCCTCTGCCACGGGCGCTGCCTCCCTATGCCATGGATGCACCCCATGCCAGCCGTGTGCCCCCCGCCGGCTGGGCACTGCTGACTGGGGCATGCGGAGGGAGGGCCCGGGGGCCCTATGAATAAACCCGCTGACCTCAGCCTCCTGCCTCTCCTGCCTCTCCTGCCAGCGCCGGCTCCCTGTGGGTTCAGAGCATCACCCCCAAGGTGTGGGTCAGTGGGTACATGGCAGTCTGGCCTGAGGAGGGCAGAGGATTCTGGGAGATTGGATTTGCAGGGAATCTGACCCCTCCCTGGAACCATTGGCAGGGAGCCCCCCCGCCAAGGCCGACCACAGCTAGAGCCCCACCAGTCCTGCTTGGTCACTGGCAACGTCTGCTCCTGGCACCATGTTTCCCCATCCGCACTCTCCCTGGGGCAGCGCCGGGCATGGGACTCCAGGCCTGGCATCTCACTGGTGCCACCTGGGCACCAGGGGCTGGGGCCCCATGCCCTGTCCAAGGGGAGGTCTCCTAGGGAGGCTGCCCCCCTTTTCCATCAGGTTCAGTCCGGTTGGAGGCCAGGCCCCCTGGGGGTGGGAACGAGCCCAGGCCTAGCACAGGCAGCAGCCCCTCCCCCACCTTGCCCGGGGCCGTATTCATGCAGCCCTTTCAGCTGCAAAGAATCCAGCAGCTTCCAGCCTTTGCACAAGGGGCTGGGCTGGGTCACGCGGCTCTCCCCTGCCCGCGGCAGGGCCCAGAGGCAGCTCATCCCCGCACGATGCATCTCCTGGGCAGACGCTTGGCCTGGCAGCCCCGGTCCCTGGCCCGCTACCCCCTGGCGCAGCTGGCCCCTTATCCCCTGCGACGGGCGGTTCAAGGCATGGTGCGGCCGGGGCCCGTCCCCAAGGGCCCCGTGGGGCTGAATCTCAGCTACTGGCTGCTGGACGTCCTGCGGGAGTGTGCCTATGTCCTGCTATGCTGCTGGTGCATCAAGGAACTGCTGGACTAGCCCCCCGCCCCCTCGTGTGCCGTGCTGTGTGCGTTTCTTCCCAGCCCCCCCCACCCCTCCACAGGGCTAGACCCACTGGCTGCACTCTGTGGTCGCCTGACCCCATGCTGCTGGGGGGCCTGGAGCCGACGGAGCTCCCACCAGAGGGACGCTTTGGGACGCCCTGAGCCTGTAGAAGGTGGGTACGAAGGTCCCCCAGCCTTGACACTGCCTCCTGCCTAGCCAGCCCAGCGCTGGTCAGAGAGTGGGGCCGGGATCCGAGCCCCTTCCCAGGGACCCAGATCCAGCGGGGTGTGTCTACCCCCAACAGGCAAATCCACAAGTGGCTCCCCCAGTGCCCCTGTCTGCGGCTAGCAACAGCCAACAGGTGAATGGGTCGGGCTGGCATGGCCACCCCAGAGCCACGCAGTTCAGAGCCATCAGAGTGGGGCTCCAAGGACACCTTCCTTCCTTCCCAAATGCCAGCGTGCCCCAGCCTGGCTCCCCAGCCTGGCACCCTCTGCTCAGCAGGGTCCCCAGGGCAGTGGGAGGTGCTGTCACACCTGCGGGGGACGGGCAGCTCTTTCCCCCCACATCTGTGGGCTCCAGGCTGCATCCGAGCCGCGGCTACTGGCTGTGTTTTCTCTCCTCTAGCTGGAATCCCGGCTCTCCAGCCCTGACAGGACGGGAAGGGGACTCAACGGTGGGTGCCTGGCCCCCTGCTCAGCGCTTCCCAATAAACCTGGGCAATGCATGACTTCCCCGAGTGCTCCATCTGACTGCTTCAGCTGCCCTGACGCCAGGCCCAATGAACCTTCCAAACATCTACCCCGGCCAGGCCTGGGAGCTGGTCGGGGCTGTGTGGGGCGGGGGGCAGGGCCCACGGCGGCCAAGTCTCTGGGCCGAGTTTCCTGCAAAGCTCCTGCTGTTTATCCAACTTTTCCTTCCTGTGCTTGGGACATTATCAGCATGGGCCCAGCCCCCTCCCCCAGCCAGCCCCCGCTTGGGCAGGCAGGGGTCCCTTGCCCAGCACACTGGGATGCCGCTCAAAGTGAAGCTGCATGGGCAAGGAGACAAGGAATGGCCCCATGGGGCTGTGCCCTGGGACGGGGGACTCTGCACAGCTCACGGGGGGCCAAATGCCCTGGGCCAGGATCTGGCTCAACCCCCAGCGGGAGCGTCTGTCCCCCCTCAGCCATGGAGCCCCGGCGCTGGGCAGGGAATAGGCCCCTGGGGCTAAGCACCAGGCAGCGCTGCCTAGTGGTTTGGGCAGAAAGTGCTGAAGGACCCCAGCTCTGGTGCAAGGGTCCCTGGGAGCAGATGATCTGCAGCCAGGATGCCGGGGTTCTTGTGCCAGGCCAGGGCACTACAGCTGAGCACAATGGCATGAGAGGCATCGGAGCCCACCACTGCTTCCCACAGCACAGGGTTCCCCTGGGAGGGATCGGGCACCGCTGTGCTGTACCACCTTTGTCTCAGGGTGCCAGGAGTCCTGGCTCCCAGCCCCCCTGCTCTCACCACTAGCTCCTGCTACCAGCCCTCCCCTCCCCTCCGTTTATCTGGCTGTGACTCAGTTCCTTGTTTAGAGAGTTGCTTTCTCGGCCTGTCTCCACTCCAGGCCGTTTCCTGTCTCCTGCCCCCCAGAGCCAGGGGGAAGCTGCAGAGGCAGGAATGCACCCAGCGGGCCAGACTGGCTGGAGCTCCAGCAAAGGTCACAGACCGACCGGCCACTGACCGGCAGCTTGGCGTACCCCAGGCCCTGCAGGACCTCCCTGGCCCAGGGCATCCCAGCCACGGCCTCCCCCTGCCAGCCTGGGCATGGCCGTGCAGGCGACTGGGGGAGCCCAGAGGGAAGGCTGGGGGTGGGGCATGTGTATCCCCAGAGCCCCTCGCTGCGCTATGCTGCCCGCCCGGGAGAAGGGCTGCCCCCTGGCGCTGTCCCGGCCCCGGCAGGGACCCACTGTGCGGAGGCTCCGCGGGGCCTGGGCCCGGAGCAGAGCTGAGTGGCTGGCGCCAGGACAGCGGCCTTATCTCAGTGGGAAGTTGGGAGCAGGAAGCCCGGCTGAGAGTGGGATAAGGGCCCGTTTACATTAACCGCCTTTCCATGGAATCTGCTCCCACCCTCTTAAAGGGACAACCCCCCAGCGCCAGCCTCGGGGAGCCCCCTCCCCACAGCCTGAGCCAGCCGAACCCCAGGGTCTGCTCAGCCAGGGCCCTGGGTGCAGGGCTGGTGGGGCGGGGGCTGGCTAGGTAGGGGGGAGCAGAGAGGGGGCCAGCTGGGGGGCTAGCAGTGTGGGGGCTGGCAGAGCGGGCCGACGGGCATGGGGCTGGCGGAGGCGGGGCAGGGGTAACAGTGAGGCTGGCAGAGCGGGCCGACGGGCTTGGGCGTGGCGGAGGCGGGGTGGGGGTGGCAGGGGGGCTGGCAGAGCGGGCCGACGGGCATGGGGCTGGCGGAGGCGGGGTGGGGGTGGCAGTGGGGCTGGCAGAGCGGGCCGACGGGCATGGGGCTGGCGGAGGCGGGGTGGGGGTGGCAGTGGGGCTGGCAGAGCGGGCCGACGGGCATGGGGCTGGCGGAGGCGGGGTGGGGGTAGCAGTGGGGCTGGCAGAGCGGGCCGACGGGCATGGGGCTGGCTTCTCAGGCATTGGTGTGACTGCCCAGGGTGCCCAGACGGGGTGGGGTTGGAGGCCTGGAGCCCGTCTCACCCCAGTGCTCTGCCAGGGCCCCGCTCCCCACAACCATGAGGGACTCAAGAACCAGAACTGGAAGGGGTGTGACAGCAAAACCGGCCAACCCAGAAAAGACACCAAGATGGCCCCACGCTTCAGAGCCCCCCCGTGCTCCACAGAGCCCCCACCAGCACTGCAGAGTCTGCCTGCCCCACAACACAGAGCCTCCCCCACTGGGCAGGGCAGACTCCGGCTCGAGGGGCAACCCAACCCCAAGGCAGCATGTGACCCCCATTGGAGTGTGACCCCCCCATCTTGCTGGCCCCTCTTGCCATTAACGCCGTGAATATAACCCAAGATGGGGGTCTCTGTGTGAACGGGAGCCCTGGGGTGAGCTGGCGCCTGTCCACATGCTGCCCAGGTCGTGGTGAGGGTCCTGGCATCTGCCCAGCTCCCGGCCCCTTGCTGCACTTTGCCGCCATCCGTCTGGCTGTCTCTGGGGGCAGCCCACACCCCCCAGCCCAGGACTCTGCCCCCCTGGGCTTCCCCTCACTCCACACTCCCCCCTGCCCAGGGCTCTGCCCCCCTCAGCCCCCCCCCAGCCTGGGGTTCCCTGTTGCACTGTTTTCACTGAGCTCAGCTTCCCTCCCTGCAGCCCAGCCAAGAAGTCTGAGCAGCCTCGAATCAATTAATTCCCCCAGCTGGGAGGGCCGTGGGAGGGGAGCCGCCGGCAGGAAAAAGCCCTGGCCGCAGCGTGCGCCAGGCAGAAGTGTCCCAGCCGCCGGAGAGCAGGGCCCCACCACTGAGCCCCAGCACCAGGCACCGCGCCCCCCGGCTGCCCCACCGTGAGTGAGCCACCCCCGTTCTGCCAACGGGGGGCTGTGGTCTTGCCTGGCACCTGGCGTGTGCGTGTCACTGTGTGCACGCGTGTTTGTGAGCATGTGCTCTGCGTGTGTGTCAGTGTGACCGCGTGCATGGCACAGGGGTTGCATGCGTGTTTGAGCATGTGCTGTGTGCGACGGCATGTTCACGTCTGTCAGGGCATGTGTATGTGCTAGGCAGTACATGTGTTGGGTGTGTGTGTGTGTGTGTGCACCAGGTGCCATGTGTGTCAGAACACACATGTGCCAGGTGATACATGTGTCAGGGCATGTGTGTGTCATGTGCAAGGCGGTACGTGTGTCAGGGTGTGCACGCCCCAGATGGCATATGTGTCAGGATGCATGTTTGTGTGCCAGGTGCCACTTGTGTCAGGATGCATCTGTGTGCCAGGCACGGTACGTGTGTCAGGACATGTGTTTTTTGTGTGTGTTGTGTGTGTGCCAGGCACTACGTGTGTCAGGATGTGTGTGCGTGCCAGGCACTACGTGTGTCAGGCAGGATGTTGTGTGTGTGTGTGTTAGGCACTACGTGTGTCAGGACGTGTGTGTGTGTGTGTTAGGCACTACGTGTGTCAGGCAGGACGTGTGTGTGTGTGTGTTAGGCACTACGTGTGTCAGGACGTGTGTGTGCGCACGCCAGGCACTACGTGTGTCAGGCAGGACGTGTGTGTGTGTGCGTGCGAGTGGCTGTGTCTCTCGGGGTTCTGGGTGGGAGGCAGCCGAGCCTAGGCCCTTGTCCCTCCTCCCTGCCCCGTCTCTGGCTCCTTTTCTCTCCTCCCCCCCTTCCCCGCCCCTTCCCCCCCCCACCGTGGCCATAAATGCTGCTCATCACAGGCTGGGTCCATCAGATCCCCCCCGGGGAGCCAGGAGGTATGTGGGGAAGGGGGGCAGGTCTGGGGGCTGGTGGGTGGGTACCTGCGTGACCCTGCCTGGCAGCCCTGGGGGAGGGGGGGTGTTCTGTGGGCATGGGGGGGTTCGCTCTCTCCCTGGGGGGTCAGCACGGGGACCAGGCCCCAGTCCCAGCCGGGGCGCTCTGCCCCTCACCCTTGCACGCTTGCAGGGCCGAGCTACGCACGCCGGAGACCCCGGCGCAGCCCGAGTGCGGACGCAGCGGGTGGAGGCGCTGCCAGCGCGGGACGTGTCCCGTCAGGGGCGGGGTGAGCTGGCTGGGGGGGGCGCCCGTCCCTGGGGGTGCACCAGTCACTAGACGGGGGTGCCACCTGGCTTTGGAGCTGGCCAGCAACACTCGGCACGGCCTAAGGGAGCCGCTGCATTGACCTGTGCAGCAAGTGTGTGACTGTGTGTGTGTGTGTGTGTTCTGCAGTGTGTCCGCACAGGTGTCAGGGTGTGGGTCCGTGAGTGTGTCAGTGAGTGTGTCAGTGAGCGGCAGCATGGGTGTGACTGTCTGTGTGTGCTGCGCAGTGTGTGTGCTGCGCAGTGTGTCCGCACAGGAGTCAGGGTGTGTGTCTGTGAGTGTGCGTGTCAGTGAGTGTGTCAGTGAGCGGCGGCGTGGGTGTGACTGTGTGTGTGTGCTGCGCAGTGTGTCCGCACAGGAGTCAGTGAGTGTGTCAGTGAGCGGCGGCGTGGGTGTGATTGTGTGTGTGTGTGTGTGCTGCGCAGTGTGTCCGCACAGGTGTCAGGGTGTGTGTCAGTGAGTGTGTCCGTGAGCGGCGGTGTGGGCGTGTGCTGCATTGTGTGTTTGTGCAGGTGTCAGTGAGTGTGTGGGACCGTGTGTGTGACAGTGAGCAGCAGATGAGTGGCAGTGAGTGTGTCAGGAGCGAATCGAATTCTCGGTTTGACTGCCAGGGTCCCGGGGACGTGGCTGCCCGGTGGGTGCTGCTGAGGGGCGAGGGGCGCCCCCGCCGCGTCCTCGGGGGCTTCACGCCGGCCCCGGCAGCGGGTGCCAGAGGTGGAGAATCCCTGCCCGGCTTTCAGAGCCGCCGGCCGCTGCCCAGCTCCCAGCACAGACCCTGCCCCCTCCCTCCGGCCCCGGGGGTTTGGATTCAGACTCCCGGCCCAGCTGGCCTGGGGGCCGCGCTGGGGAGACCGGCTCAGCGCAGCCCCAGCCAGCCCGGCCTGGTGTCGTCCCCGGGCTGGGGCCCAGCCGCAATAAGGAGCGGGTCCAGCCCCGGTGGCGTGGGGACCCCGGTGTCCGGCTGGATCCCTGCTACGCCTGATGCCGGGGGCGGGAGGGGGGGAGTTGCAGGGCAGCACCTGCTTACCCCCGGCGCGGCTGGGTGCCCCGGGCCTGGACGGGCAGGGCCGTGGGGATCTCTGGAGCGGCCCGTGACCCCTCTCTCCCCCGCAGGTGGGGCCCGCGCCCCATGTTCCGCTCGCGGCGGGCCGGCCTGGTGCGGCGGCTCTGGAGGCACCGCTGTGCGGCCCCCGGCCCCGAGGATGGCCCCGGCGCCCTCAAGCCCGCCGCGCACGCCCTCTTCAAGAAGCTGAAGGACGAGGAGCTGGAGCTGCTGGTGCAGGCGGTGGAGAGCCGGGGAGCCGGGCAGTCGGGCTGCGTCTGGGTGGCCCGGGCGGAGCTGCGGGGCACCAAGCAGGCCCTGCCCCCTCAGGTGCTGCTCTGCCGGCTCTACCGCTGGCCCGACCTCCGGCACCCCCACGAGCTCAAGAGCCTGAGCGGCTGCCAGAGCTTCGGGGGCTGCGGCGAGGGGGCCACGCTCTGCTGCAACCCCCACCACCTCAGCCGGCTCGCCAGGCCCGGTGAGTGGGGCGGGGCGCCGGGCGGGGGGCCACACACGGCGCAGCCCCCCCCCCCAGCCCCCCGGCCAAGCAGCGCCGCTCGGAGCTGGGGGGTCAGCATGGGAAGGGTGGCTGGCCCACCCACACCACTCAATTGCCGAATCTGTCCCCAGACACCCCCTCTGTCTGTCTGTCTGTCTGCCTGTCCTCGTAAACCTCCTCTGTCTGCCTGCCTGTCCTCATACACCTCCTCCGTCTGTCTGTCTGTCTGTCCTCATAAACCCCCTCTGTCTGTCTGTCTGTCTCCAGACACCCCCTCTGTCTGTCTGCCTGCCTGTCCTCATACACCTCCTCCGTCTGTCTGTCTGCCTGTCCTCATACACCTCCTCCGTCTGTCTGTCTGTCTGTCCTCATACACCTCCTCCGTCTGTCTGCCTGCCTGTCCTCATAAACCCCCTCTGTCTGTCTGTCTGTCTCCAGACACCCCCTCTGTCTGTCTGTCTGTCTGCCTGTCCTCATACACCTCCTCCGTCTGTCTGCCTGCCTGTCCTCATACACCTCCTCCGTCTGTCTGTCTGTCTGTCCTCATAAACCCCCTCTGTCTGCCTGTCTGTCTCCAGACACTCCCTCTGTCTGTCTGTCTGTCTGCCTGTCCTCGTAAACCTCCTCCGTCTGTCTGCCTGTCCTCATACACCTCCTCCGTCTGTCTGTCTGTCTGTCCTCATACACCTCCTCCGTCTGTCTGCCTGCCTGTCCTCATACACCTCCTCCGTCTGTCTGTCTGTCCTCATAAACCCCCTCTGTCTGTCTGTCTGTCTCCAGACACCCCCTCTGTCTGTCTGCCTGCCTGTCCTCATACACCTCCTCCGTCTGTCTGCCTGCCTGTCCTCATACACCTCCTCCGTCTGTCTGTCTGTCTGTCCTCATAAATCCCCTCTGTCTGTCTGCCTGTCCTCATACACCTCCTCCGTCTGTCCTCATACACCTCCTCCGTCTGTCTGTCTATCTATTTATCCCCAGACACCCCCTCTGCCTGTCTGTCCTCATAAATCCCCTCTGTCTGCCTGCCTGTCCTCATACACCTCCTCCGTCTGTCCTCATACACCTCCTCCGTCTGTCTGTCTATCTATTTATCCCCAGACACCCCCTCTGCCTGTCTGTCCTCATACACCTGTTCTGTCTGTCTATCCTTGTACACCTCCTCTGTCTGTCTATCTACCTACCCCAACACCCCCCTCTATCTATCTACCTATCCCCAGACACCCCCTCTGTCTGTCTATCTATCTATCCTCATACACCCCCATCTATCTATCTATCTATCCCCAGTGTCACGGAGTCCCCAGGCGGGCGATGCTCTGGAACTGCTCCCTATGAAGCCAGGCAGGACTCTGGGGAAGTCTCCTTTCTGTGAGCAGACTGTCCCCCAGGACACACAGCTCACACGGCTTCCACCTTCCTGGGTCTGACCTTGGAGCATTCAGCATCCTCTGCCCCTCAGGGAGTCCGCTCAGGCGGGGTCCTGGGGAAGCCAGAGGGTCCTGCCCCCCAACTCCACAGTCCGACGGGACTCTCAGCCAGCCAGTAACACAGAAGGTTTATTAGACGACAGGAACATGATCTAACACAGAGTTTGCAGGTGCAGAGAACAGGACCCCTCAGCTGGGTCCATTTTGGGGGGCAGTGAGCCAGACAACCACGTCTGCACTTCACTCCATGTCCCAGCCAGCCCCAAATTGAAACTCCCTCCAGCCCCTCCTCCTCTGGGCTTTGTCCCTTTCCCAGGCCAGGAGGTCACCTGATTCCTTTGTTCTCCAACCCTTTAGCTCTCACCTTGCAGGGGGGGAAGGGCCCAGGACATCAGCTGCCGGGAGACAGAGTGTCGGCCATTTATGTACCCTGGCCCTTTGCTCTGCAACAATTACACCCCCTTATCCCACCCCCTAGAGACTTAAGAAATGCATAGGGGAAACTGAGGCACCCCTACAGTATTCAGAGGAAACATTAAGAACAGACCCACTTCATCACACCCAGACACCCCCTCTGTCTGTCTATCCCCAGAACTTGGTCCCCCTTGCCCTGCTAGTTTTGGGGCTGCATTGGGCTGGAAGGGGAGCGCTGGCATCGGAGTGGGATGGGGAGGGGGCTGCCCCAGAGGCAGCTGCTCACTGGTTTCCGCTCTTGTCTGGTTCCCTTTCAGAGACGCCGCCACCCCCTTACTCCAAAATCTACCCCTTCAGCTGCCCATGGACAGAGGTGTCGGAGCGCCCCAACTCCAGCCACCCGGAGTCTGGCTGCAATGCCCATGGAGACTGGCGAGGTACAGTGAGGACCGGGGGCAAGGGGTGCCCAGAGGGACTGGGGGGCACCCAGGGGATGTGACCTCCAGGCCCAGGCAGGGAGCTTCAGGGGGCTCCGGATGACCAGCCCTGGGCTGTGTGGGGACCAGCGCTGCCAGGCTGCAGCCTTGGGTATCAGGGGGATCCTGCCGCCACCTTCCTCCCGCGTGAGGTTTTGGGGGCCCCACTGGAGAGGAAGGGCCCTATGGTAGAGCCATGGAGAAGCCCACCACTCAGGAGCCAGCAGCACTGGGTGTGGGTCAGGTAAACCCCCCATCCCCACTGTGAGTCGGGGGCGCGGAGCACCCGCTGAGCCATCCTGGCCCTCAGAGCCTGGAGAGCTGCCGACATGGGGCCCCTGGGGCAGCCTGGTCCCTCCCCTGCCAGCTCAGCCCCTCACAGTAGGTCAGGGGCTACTTCGGTAGGTCAGAAGGAGTTGGGGGGTGGGAAGGGCAGGTGAGGTCTGGCCCAGCCACCGCCCCCCCGAGAGCCCCAGAGCAGATCTGACCTTGCTGCTGCCCCCCATCTCCCCTGGGGCTTCAGGGGAGGGGGTTGGGGGTGATAACCAGCCCCCCACCCCTGAGTCAGGCCCCCCCACCGAGTCCGGGAGGAAAAGCTGCTCAGAGCAGCCAGGGCCGGGGGGTTCCTGTCTGCGGGGGTGGCTCCGTCCCGTCCCCCAGCCCCGGCTGCGCCTGTTATTTTTGGCCCGTCCGCGTTCCCCGCCGCAGGAAGTGCTGCCCACAGGGACACTCACAATGTGCCTTGACGCACAAGCCGCGCTCCGGCCTGGCTGCCGGCCACCGGCTCCTTCCCCGGGCTCCGCCTTCCCTCCCACAGCTCAAGGGCCTTAGGACCGGCGCCTGCTGCCGGGCCCGCCCCCCCCTTGCCGCGCCACGGCGGGCGGTCCCCTGGGACGGTGGCTGGGGTCGTCCCCGGCCTACGTGCCGGATCACAGCACCCCCCACCCCCCCCCGTGACTCACGCCCCCCGTGATTGTCTGGCTCCACGGTGGCGTTGGATGCCCTGCTCCAGCCCAGGGGGGCCGAGCCTGGGGCATTGGGGGGGTCGTGTCCTTCTGCTCGGGGCCAGCGGGGTCGGGCAGCCAGAACCCCAGGAGGGCCAGTGTGGCGGGGCTGAGCCCCCATGCAGGAGTCACCCTGCCAGCCACACTGAGACACAGAGCGAGGCAGCTCCTCTTCATCAGCAGAGATGGGGCCTGAAACTGCCCCTTGCAGAGCCCAGGGCCTGTTCCCCACCCGCCCACACCGCTGGCCGGGCCGCATTTCAATCTGGGGCCTTCAGGCCGGCCTGCCCCCAGCCCCCGGCCGCTTGAAAGAGACGACCAAAACTGGTTCTATGTGGCTGTATCCAGAGCCCTGCAGCTCACCCACCCAGGCGAGGGGTCTCTGTATAACTAGCCCTCACGTGTCCCCCCCACAGCCAGCACGGGGGGAGGGGTCCCTGTATAAACACCCCCTGCATCCCACCCCAGAGGCAGCTGCATCTCAGCGCCGGGCGAGGGGTCTCTGTATAACCGATCCCCGCACCCCACCCCAGACGGGCTGCGTCCCAGCGCTGGGGAGGGTCCCTGGGTGGTCTGTTCATTCTCTGGGAGCTCAATGGGGGGATGCGGGGGCTGCTCTGTGCATGGGCTCAGAGGTCCCTTCTCACTCCTGCAGACTCCGGCCTGGAGAGGAGCACCACCAGGGACGGCTGCTGGTGCAAGCTGGCCTATTGGGAGCACCGGACGCGGGTGGGCCGTCTCTACGCCGTGCACGAAACCTCCGTCAACATCTTCTGCGAGCTGCCGCAGGGGAGCGGCTTCTCCCTGGGCCAGCTGCAGGCCGAGAGGCGCAGTGCGGCCGTGCGCCGGGCCCGGAGCAAGATCGGCCGCGGGCTGCTGCTGAGCCGGGAATGGGACGGGGTGTGGGCCTACAACCGCAGTGAGCACCCCATCTTCGTCAGCTCCGCCACGCTGGGGCCCCCCGGCGCCCGCGGCCCGCCCGTGCACAAGGTGCTGCCCGGCTATTCTCTGCAGGTGTTTGACTACAAGTGTGCGGGTGGCCAGGCCGGCTGGCGGAGGCCGGGCGATGGGCCCTGCGACCCCAACAGCATCCGCATCAGCTTCGCCAAGGGCTGGGGCCCCTGCTACTCCCGCCAGTTCATCACCGCCTGCCCCTGCTGGCTGGAGATCCTGCTCACCAAGCCCCGCTGACCGGGGGCACAGCCCAGCACAGCCGCTCCCGCTGTGGCCACGGGCCCTGCCAGACGAGTAGAGTGGGGGAGCGTCCCTCGGGCCCCCACCTCTGAGGCCTGGCCCCGCTGCCTCTGTCCCCTCTACCTAGAAACCCCATCGCAGCCTCCCTCCGCCCCGACCCCATCATGAGCCTGCAGCTTGGGCCTATGGGCCTCTCCAGCCATCCCCAGCCTGGGTCCTATGGCCCTGGTCAGCCCCTGTCTGCCCTACTCCCTGCCCCCCAGCCTCCTCTCCCCCTTCCCCTTCCCCTTCTCCCCAGCCCCCCACCCCCGTCCCTCTGGCTATCCCTCCCCCACCCCATCTCCCCTTACCCCCAGCCCCACCGTCCCTCTGCCCTCCCCCCCAGCCCCTGCCCTGCCCTGTGGTGCCGGGCACACTTGTCAGGGAGGCAGTTCTCACATTTATTTCAAATTATCTTATTTTTGTAAAGAAACGTAGATTAAAACCCTGTCAAGTGTGGCGGGAGCGGCTCCATGTGCCAGTCCGACCCCCTGCCCACTTGCCACCTGCCGGGCCAGCTGATCCATTCTGGGCACTGGCCCAGGTGGTGGCCAGGTGAGTCTCAGCCCCCTCTGGGAGCCTGCTGGGCTGGGCTGGGGTTTTCGAGGTTGAGAGGGGCTGAGCACGTCTGCAAAGGGGGGAGGAGGTGAAGCAGGAGGGAGGTAGCAGTGGGGCAGGACTCAGAACAGGGCGAATTCTTGGCCCTGGGGGCTCTGACCAGGCCCCTATCCCCAGGGCTCAGGAGGAACCTTGGGCCCTGGGGTGGGGGCACAGAGGCCAGTCCGTGCATGGGGGAGGCACAGAGAGTGGTGGGGAGAGGCTGGGGGCAGCTCAGAAGGAGCCAGCAGGGCTGGAGGGGGGAGCAGGGTCCCGGTGGCCAGCAGCACCCAAAGCTCCCGTGTCAGGAGGGCTCAGGGGCTGGGGGGGCAGCCCCTCCGGGGGAAGTTCTCGTGACTAGCAGGGTCTCCTGCATGCAGCAGACAGCTCCGGGCCCAGCCTGGCAGGGCAGAGGGCAGTGCTGCAGGTCCCCCGCAATGCAGACCCGTCCATCTCCGCAGCCCGCCCTGCCAGTCACAGGGGCCTGGCTGGGCCGCACCGGTGCTGCGTGGAGCAGCTCTAAGTTCTTATAGCCACAGGCACTCTGCCGGGAGCTGCCCGGCCCGGCGCTGTTATTTATAACTCCAATAAACGGTGCCACGGAATCGCTGCTGTCCCAGGTGTTGTCCCTGTGCCGGCCCCACCTCCTGTGTCCAGCGTGTGGGGAGCTGCTGCGCGGCCCGGGGAGCTGGGGGGGCAGCGGAGCTCAGTAACCACCATGGCAGCTGGCGAGGGGGCCAGCCCCACAGTGCTGGGTGCTACAGGTATCGGCCCGTCCACAGCTGGGTCTGGGCGTGGGGCAGGGAGGGACCCCAGCCTGTGGGTGCCTGGCCTCCCTGAGAATCATGGCTGGGGCTGGGGGCCTTCCTGCCATGGCTCTGATGTGCACCTCCCCCACCCCAAACACCGGGCACCCCCACAGCACAGACCACAGCCGGTACACTGGGCAGCCTAACCAGGTGTGCCACACGCGTGTCCACGCACCCCTCACAGGCTAGCGTGCATATGCACATGCACGCACACACACACACACGTACACACACCCTCACACGCGCGCACACACACATACACGCACCCCTGCACACACACACTCACAGGTACACACACCCTCACACGTGCACACACACACATACACGCACCCCTGCACACACACACTCACAGGTACACACACCCTCACACGCGCACACACACCCTCACAGGTACACACACCCTCACACGCGCACACACACACACACGTACACACACCCTCACACGCGCGCACACACATTCACAGGTACACACACCCTCACACGTGCACACACACACACGTACACACACCCTCACACGCGCACTCACACATACACGCACCCCTGCACACACACACTCACAGGTGCACACACCCTCACACGCGCACTCACACATACATGCACCCCTGCACACACACACACACACACATGCACCCCTGCACACACACGCTCACAGGTGCACACACCCTCACACGTGCACACACACATACATGCACCCCTGCACACACACACACACACACATGCACCCCTGCACACACACACTCACAGGTGCACACACCCTCACACGTGCACACACACACACATGCACCCCTGCACACACACACTCACAGGTGCACACACCCTCACACGCACACTCACACATACACGCACCCCTGCACACACACACACACACACACACATGCACCCCTGCACACACACACTCACAGGTGCACACACCCTCACATGTGCACACACACATACACGCACCCCTGCACACACACACACACACATGCACCCCTGCACACACACACTCACAAGTGCACACACCCTCACATGTGCACACACACATACATGCACCCCTGCACACTCACACACACAAACACACACTCACGTGCAGCCCATTCCGGCTCTCCCTTGCACTCCTGCTCCCCGTTCGGTGCCCAGCAGTGCCCTCTGCAGGCCAGAACAAGCCAAGGCCGCCCGCAGCTGTCGGCAATGACCGCCCGGTCCTTCCTGCCACGCTGCCCGGCTGGGCAGAGATGGGATCAGAGGCTCCCTGTCCTCAGGCTGGCCCCGCTGCCGTCAGGTGCCCTCATCTCTGCTGTGCTGCCCAGTGCCCCGGAGGGGCCTTGTCCTGGGGGGGCGGAAGGTGAGTGCCCGTCGATGCCCCCGCCTGTCCCGCTCAGGGCCCGTGGGAATGTCCTGGGCTCAGTGGGGACAGGGCACCTGCCAAGCGACTTCCCAGCTCCTTTGTGTTGGGGGTGCTGGAGCTGAGCCAGGGTCTGCGATGGGGGTGCCAGCTGCCCATGGGCAGTTCAGGGGCTCTGGCTGAAGGGCTCTCCCTTGGCAGGAGAGACGGGGACGGGCCCAGCACCCGTGGGACATAGCCCCAGCCCCCACACCCCAAAATAGACTGGTGCCTAAAAATAGCACAGTGCACCCCCAACGGCGGAGGGGGGGCTGGTATCTACCAGCCTGCACTGGGGCAAGGGTGGGGCACCGGGGGGCTGTGTGGTTTGGTGTCTGGTTCCTAGAACACTAGGGGCTGCGGGCTCAGCAAGGCCTGGCGGGGCCAAGGGGGAGAGACTCTTTCCTATAAACACGCACCAATCCAGCCCACGGGGCTTGCAGAGAAGCCGCCCGACTTAGAGAAAACCGGGGGAGGGGAGAGAGAGCGAGGGAATGGGGAAGCGAGGGAGGAGGAGTGCGGCCTTGCCAGCTGCGAGCACTTCCCCCTACACCCACTGGAGCCAGGAGGTGGCGGGGGGGAGGTGCCCGCACAGCGCCCAGGCCTGACTCCAGCAGCCAGCAATGGGCTTGGCTGGCACCATCTGGAGCGGGGAGGCCAGGGTGAAAGGGGGCTGGACGCTGTCCCTGGCCTCTCGCTCTGCAGAGGAATCTCTCCGTCCAGTGCCAGGCTCCCATCCCCGTGGGCTCTGGCAGCTGAACTGGGCTGCCCGTTAGCCCTGGGTGCCGCCCTATGCGGAAGTGGGAGGCCGTGGCCAGGCCTGGGCGGGTGCAGGGAGCTGGGGGCTCCTGCCCCTCCTGCCGGTTCCTCCTTAGAACCATTTCCCCTGCGGCGTCTATAAATAGCTGGCGACGCCGGGGCCTGCGGTGGGTTTGATTTCGGCTCTTGGCGGCCTCAGGGGGTTTGTGACACGAAGTGCTGGGCGCCTTTCATCCCCCAAGCTGCCTCTGAAGTGGTTGGGGCGCAGGAAAGCTCGGAAGCTCCCCCCACCCGTCTGGGGCCCCCAGGAGCCGGGCAGGGACGTGGATGTCTCTGTGCAGCAGGGTCTGCAACACTGCATCCCATATCCCAGGGTGCGGTGCCCCCCACCCGGCACACGGGGGCCAAGAATGCCGCCCAGCCCTCAGCAGGCCTGGGCCAGGCCTGCCTGGCATTGCCCAGCACCTGGCACCTTAGGCCCATGGTGGCCCTGATTCCAGGATCTTCCCAGGGACCGGGGCTGCCAGCCACATCCCGGCCCCCCAGCCCTCCCCCCCACCTCCCCGGGGTGCAGCTGCATGGCCCCTGAAAGTGAAAGTGGGAGGGGCCGTGGGAGGCTGGTTTCGGGCAGGTGGGCGGCTGGGCCGGCTGCAAGTCAGCACCAAAGAGGGGATTTTCTCTGGATTTCCCCCTCACTCGCCTCATCCGTCCCCACGCGTCCCCAGCTCTTCAGCAGCCCCCTCCCACCCTTGCCTGCTCAGGCCAAGGGAGAGACAGCAGCTGGGCTGGGCCAGGCAGGCCACTCCCTGGAGGTACCACAGCTCTGGCCAGGCCCCTGGGTGGCTCCTGCATGATCTCCCTCTGCCCCCGCCCCCACCCTGCATGCGGGTTATTGTAAGCAGCCTGCGAGGGCTTTGCTGAGCAAGGGGGAGAGGGATGGATGGACGGGTGGGTGGGTGGAGGAGCAGATGGACCAAAGGTGCTCTCTCTCTCTCTCTCTCTCTGGCCAATGCAGAGGACTTGCCCCAGTGGGGTGGGAGGAATGCGTGGGGGGCAGCCAGGGCCGGGCACCTCAGGGCCATCGCCCCAGAGGACAGGTTTGCAACCCTCCCCCACCCCACTGGGGACACATGGGGGCCCCAAGGGCTGAACCCCCTTGTTGGGTCAGCAGCCAGGTACGTGCAGGGTAATTGCCCCAGCAAGAGGGGTGATCCAGCCCTGGATCTGTGCCCATTGCAATGGCCTCTGGGCGCAGTGATCCAGCAGGAGGGGAGACCCGGAGCTGGATCCCTGCCCCCGTAATGGACTTGCCTCCTGCCAGTGAGCTAATGTCTGCGCAGGGCCCCTCTTTGGCTTGGTGGCAGGGCAGTGGGGGCCTGGCCCAGGGCCATGTCTGAATCAGGCCGCCAGGGAGCCCCTCCTTGGAGCAGCAGGCAGGGCTGGGGGTTGGAGGGCAGGGGCGGGCATGGGAGGGGGGGTGGGGTTAGCTGAGGTGAGCAAGGAGCCAGGAACATTTTGATTCTTTCCCTCCTGGGCGCCGGTTGTGGCCAAACAGGTTGTGTCTGTAACCCCACCCAAGTCACCTGCACAGGTGGGGGGAGCTGCTGCTGCTCCCGGAGTCTGCCCCGCCCTGGCCTGCCCTGCCCTCCTGCCTGCTCCAAGTGTCTTGCTCTCCATGAGCCCCCATTGCCCCAGGTCCTTCCTGCCACTCTCCCAGGCAGGCACAGGAAAGGGAGGCTAATGAGGCA